TGGCTGCTGTAACAAGTTACCACAAGCTTGGTGGCTTGAAACAACAGCACTTTATTGTCTCAAGGTTCTGGAGGCCAGAAATCCGAAATTAAGATCCCTCTGGAAGCTCTAGGGAAGAATTCAGTCCTTGCCTCTTCCAGCTTCTGGGGGCTGTCTACATTCCGTTGCTTGCATCACTTCAGCCTCTGCTCTTGTCTTTACGTTGCCTTCTCCTCTGTGTGTCTGGTGTCAAATCTCTCTCTGCCTCTCTCTGATTAGGACAGTTCTAATGGCATTTAGGGTCCACCCAGATCATCCAAGATTATCTCCTCAATTCAGTATCATCAACTTAATCATATCCTCAGAGACCCTTTTTCCAAGTAAGGTAACATTCACAAGTTCCAGGGGCTTGACACGGATAGCTTGTGGGAGGCCATTTTCAGCCTTCCACACTCCCCATACCCCCCAGCCCAAATATAATTCACATACCATAAAATACACCAAATTAAAGCGTACGTATGTACAAATTTCAGTATATTCATAAGGTTGTGCAACCATCAGCACTGTCTAATTCTGGAACATTTTCATCAGCCCCAAAAGAAACACTCTTTCAGCAGTCATTCCCCATTTTCCCAACTCCTGGCAGCCACTAATCTACTTTTTATCTCTAAGATTTGCCTATTCTAGACATTTCATGTAAAGGGAATTATACAATATGTGGTTTTTTCTGTCTTACTTCTTTCACTTAGCATAATGTTTTCAAGGTTCATCTGTGTTGTAGCATGTATCAGTACTTCATTCCTTTTTATGGCTGAATAATATTCCGTTGTAGGGATATACCACACTTTATTTATCCACTCATTGGTTGGTGGACATTTTGGTCATTTCTAATTATTGGCTATTATGAACATGCCGCTATGAACATTCATGTAAAAGTTTTTTGTGTAGACGTGTTTTTTATTTCCCTTAGGTATATGCCTAAGAGTGGGAGAAACTGTTTTCCAAAGTGGCTGCACCATTTTATGTTCCTACCAACAATGCATGAGAGTTCCAGTGTCTTCACATCTTCCCCAAAACTTACTGTCTGTCTTTTTTATTATAGCTATCCCAGTGGGTGTAAAGTGGTATCTCATTATGGTTTTGATTTGAATTTTCATGATGGTTATTGAGGCTAAGCATCTTTTCATGTGTGTATTGGTTATTTATATATCTTCTCTGGAGAAATGTCTATTCAGATCCTTTGCACATGTTTTAGTTGGCCTATTTGTCTTTTTATTATTGGGTTTTAAGAGTTCTATATGTATTCTAGATACACGTCCCTTGTCAGATACAGAATTTGCAAATATCTTCTCCAATTCTGTGAGTTGTCTTTTCACTTTCTTAATGATGTCCTTTGAAACACAAAAGCTTTCAGTTTTGATGACTTCTAACTTTTCTTTTGTTGCTTGTGCTTTTGATGTCATATTTAACAAACCATTGCCTAACCCAAGGTCACAAAGTTTTACTACGATAATTTCTTCTATGAAATTTATAGTTTTAGCTCTTAAATTTCAGTCTTTGATACATATTGAGTTAATTTTTTTATATGTTGTGAGGTAGGGGTCCCACTTCATTCTTTTTTGTGTGGATATCCAGTTGTCCCAGCTCCATTGGTTGAAAAGAGAGTTCTTTTCCCCTAGCTAATTGTTTTGGCACCCTTGTCAATAGTCACTTGACTGTACGTGTGAGGGTTCATTTCTGGACATTCAGTCCTATGCCCGTTGATCTATATGTCTTCCCTTGTGCCAATAACATACTGTCTTGATTCCTGTAGCTTTGTGTAAGTTTGGAAATCAGGAAGTGTGAGTCCTCCAGTTTTGTTGTGTTTTTCCAGATTGTTTTGGCTGTTCTGGACACACAACAGATTCTTCAGACACACTTGTCGCTTGGTCACTTCCTTTCCTATTTGCTTGATGGACTGGTGAGCCTGTGAGAGCCTGGCTGGCCTCATGGGTAGGTGAAAAACTCCTCTCCCGGCTCTTCAGCCTCCCCTTCAAAAGCTGTCTGGCCAGTGGAGGTCTGGGCTGTTCTGACTAAGCTGTCTTAGACCAGGGCAAGGTCGTAAAAGAGGGAACTTGGTGGGGTGCAGCTGGCCCCTCAAGCAGGAAATCTAAATCCAACCAATCCTCCCCCGACCCCCATCCCAGCTTTCCTTCCCTTTCCCTCCTCATCTGGCAGGGTCGGGATTTACGTGGTTATGATTCTGTCTAGATCCACTTCCAGCCAACACGCCAGCTCTCCTCTGGTGCCTCTGTCACTCCCAGCACTCTCCTGCCACTTCCGAAGCATGAGTCATGGCAAAATGGTGCAGGATGAGGGACATCTGTCCTGTCAGGTGAGGCAGGTGCAGCAGTCCAGCCTTCCTGGTGGCATCTCTGGTCACCTCCATGTGTTCTTTGTAGACCTAACAGGGGTGCCACTTGAGCTGCTGGCAGTGACTGGGGGGGATGAAACATTTTTCTTCCTTGTGAGACTTTCAGTTCTTGCCTTAAGGAGAGAAAAAAAGGAAGGGTGGGGAAAGCAGGGGTGAATCAGAGGGCAGATTTTTCTGAAAGGTTTCAAGATAAGCTGAGCTCCTGTTGGTGCCATAATACAGGACTTACAGCTTTGACCTTTTTTCAAAATATGGCGCCCAGCTGGGAGCTTTTTTTAATGAATAAACGTGATAAAACCAAGTCTGACTTCATCTCTGTGGGGTGCAAGGAGTGTTTCTCCACTGCCTGCCTGCAGGGCAGGGGGCAGCCTGTGCACTGAGACAGACTTCGCTCCGTGCCTCCACTGCTGACCGTGTGAACTTGGACCTGTCACCCAGCCTCTGTGGGCACAGCTTCCTCATTTATTAAACATGGATAACCCCCTCATGGTGGTGGGAGCGTTAAGGGTTCGGTAGAAGGAGAGTGTTCACTATTATCAGCAATAATACTAGTAAACCATTTATAGACTGCTTTCTTTGTGGCAGTCCGTATGTTAGTCTTCAAACTAAATTAAGGTGGGTAAAGAAGATTTCATGATCTCCAGAGCCATAAACTGGAATGTTTTGAGCATCTGCTATGTGTTTAATCCTATGTTGGCCTTCCTGTGTATTCTTAATTCTTTGAGGTTTGAAAGATGCCAATTAATAGTGTCTCCTCCCCATACAGATTCTAAACCAGCTGAGAACGACACAGAGAAGTCAGGTAGAGATAAAAATAGAGATTGTATTGTAGGTAAAGGCTCAACCAACACATGGCTCAGACCTACAGCCAGAATGCACCTTTGCCACCTCCCCTCCCCTCCCCACTTTTTTCTGTTTCCCAGTTTAAATCCTGGTCCCAGGCATGGGGAGCAGGGGCACTAAGGAGCAGGTGTCCTGGGGGATTGATTTGGGGCTCTGAGGATGGTAATATTGGTCCTTTGGCTGCTTCCATGAGTCTAGGCTCTGCTCCATGGGCTCTAGGTAGTTCTGGCCCTGCTGGAGGGTCATCAACCCTCCTTGTCTCGCTGAAAAGACATTCTCTGGATGTTGGTGCTGATTCTTCAAATCTGTACTCTGCACGCACCATGAAACTTGTTGCTGATTCCAGTGTCTTTATAGCCACTTAAAGCCCTGTGACTGTATGCAAGTGGGTTAATCTGTCTGAGCCCTGGATTCCTCATCTGTGAAGAAGGGATGGTAATACCCAACCCATAGAATGTTGAAGACTGGAGAGAAAGTACTTGGTTAGGGCCTGGAACATAATAGGCCCTCAGGCAGGGGGGCCATCCGTCTAAGCCTGGTTCAGCACCCTGGGGAACTCAACCTTCCATTCCAGACTCTGAGCCTTCTCCCTGTATGCTGAGCAAGTCTCTTTGGGAGCAAATGGTCAGGGACAGGTCTGAGGGCTGGAGTTGAAGATATGGATTTGGGAAAGACGAGTTCTCAATAGAAGTGGGTCATTGAAAGACAAGCATTGGTGCCTGGATGGATCTACAGAGGTTCATTGTCTGTGTGGTGGGATTTCAGTCCCATGTTTCAGATCTCCTCCAGGTTGGGGATGGGAGGGACAGGGTTGTTAGCGGAAGTGTCAACACCCTGAGCCTCCCTCAAACCCATATTTAGGACTGTCTAAGGCAAAATGGTGAAGTAAGCGATGGTTTCCAAAAGGCACCCACTTCCTCTTTCTGCACCCCATTCTACTCTTTCAGCATCCTTCCCCGAGCCAGCTAGGAAGATGAGTGTCTGAAAAATGACTTCGCTCTAAGACAGAGGGCAGCAAAATATGAGCTAATTCCAGCCCACCACCTGTTGTTGCCTGGCCTGTGAACTACAAATGGTTTTTTACATTTTTTAATGGTTGGAAAAAAGTCAAAAGAATATTTTGTGACGTGTGAAAATCAGATGAAATTCAAATTTTATTGGAGCATAAATAAAGTTTTATTGGAATACAACCACAATCATTTGTTTACATATTGTCTATAACTGCTTTCAGCAGAGTTGAGTAGTTGTGACAGAGACCTTAAGACCCCCAAAGTCTAAAATATTTACTCTCTGGCCCTTTAAGAAAAAGTTGGTGATGCCCCACCCTAAGATGTTAGAGATTGAATGTGTTATGTGCCCAGCGGGATTGGCTTTCGGAGGAAGGAGCAAACCAGTGGAACTTGGACGTTGTGGCAGGCCTGCAGAGGACACGCTGGGTGGGAAGCTTTCCTGATATCCTTCCCGTTATACTAGAGAGGCTGAGGGGAGATAAATGACTAGTCCAGCAGGTCGGGCTGCTTCTGTCCACACTGTGATAAGGGGCATGGAAATGATGGGGTTCAGGCCCCTGACTCATTCTAGCTGTGTAGACAGCAGTACTCACGAGTTGATTAATAACCTTTAGTGAGCCCATCCCACCAGCGTCCCTGGCAGGCTGGTGGCATTGATTTCACCTGAGGTCCTTTGTGTTCCTGAGGCCTGCAGAGCCTCCCTGGGTTGTCCTCAAGCAGCACATTCATTGCTTGCCTGTCTCTTATTTTGGCAGAATTTGCCTTCTGCCAATTGGATGCCTCCATCACCCTGGACCTAGCCCTGGCTGTGCTGTGTGACCTGCTCCAGCAGTGGGACCAGCTGGCCACTGGACTCCCAGTCCTTCTGGGATGGCTGTTGGGAGAGGGTGATGACCTCGTGGTCTGTGCGGAGAGCGCACATCAGGTAATCCTGGGGTCTCAGGGCAGGGGAGGCCGGCCGGAGTGTCCTACACCCACTGCATGCACCCCTTATAGGCTCACTTGGGCTTACTGTGCCTGCGGAAAGTGTGCTCCTGAATGCTCAGACACAGCAGTAACAGGTTGGGAAAGTCTCCAGATGACCACGGCAGCCTGTGGGTGCTGCTGGGGTGCGGGAGCAGCTCTCATGCCGGCTTTTGGGATTCCAGTAGTAAGCCTTCAGGTCGGTGCGGGGAGAGGACTTTGGAAGAGGCCCCATGGAAGTTGAGAGTTTAGTTATGGCGAATGCTTATTAGTCAACATTGGAGTAGCCAGGGGCCCCCCCATGGTTAGGTCCAAAGGTGAAACATTTCCAGAGAATCAGGGTCCTTCCAGGGCATTTGTTACTTGAAGAAAACTGTTAGCCCCCTCCAGGTGGAGGAGCAGTCAACAGATAGGGAAACTGAGGACCGAGACAAATAGCAAAAGCATCTTGAGAACTGAAATTCACACATCCACCAGTGTCTGACTAGCTGGCCTTCTTGGCATCAGCAGGAGGCCAAGAATTCAAAAAGCAGCCTGTTTATGGGGAAATTTGGAGACAAGATAAAGTGTCTGTGATAAAATGACCTTGAAAATCCCAGCATTATAGAAATTTGGTTTCATACACAGAGACTAGTGTCTCGTGTTTAGTAATTCTTTGTTCTTTGTTCTGCTGCTGAGATTTCCCTTCCTCCCTCCTTTCTGATTTCTAGATGTACCTTTAGGTCTAGGGCCCACTCCCATGTTGAGGTCCCCTTTTCAGCACCAGGCCCCCAAAATATCTTGGCTTTGAACCAAAAACACATCTTTATCAAAGGTCATGTTAAGTCTGGGGAAAAAAATTCCTGTGGAGAAGTACAATGAGTGACAATAGAAGGTGACCTTCAGGGCTGCAAGTGGTGTGTATCCATGGGTGTTGACAGGCTAGAGTGGGCTCCCTTTCCCATGGGGGAGGGGACACACCTCTTCTGCATCTGGCAGGACTCTGGTCTGGATTGGGGCTTGTCAACATCCCCTGTAAGGTGGACTTTTGGCTTTTTCATTTGATTCAGGTGGAAGACGACTACCTGTTTGAAAAAGCAGAAGTCAACTTTTGGGCTGAGACCCTGATCTTCGTGAGATACCTCTACAAGCACCTCTTTCTTCTCCTCTCCAAGTCCAGCTGGTGTCCCCTTAGCCCTGAGACGCTCCGTCATCTTCAAAGGACAGCATCAGAGCGGTGCCACCTCCTTTCCCAGCTCTTCAGAGAGCTGCCACCAACTGCCGAGTTTTTGAAGACAGTGGAGTTCACAAGACTGCGCGTTCAGGAGGAGAGGACTTTGGCTGGCCTGAGGCTGCTGGCCTTTCTGGAAGGAAGGGAAGGGGATGACACCCTCGTTCTCCGTGCTTCGGACTCTCCTGCAGAAGCGAATCAGTTGACTCTTCCAAGAACAGAAACCGCTTATTGAAGAAAGAAGACTTGTGGGATGGGGGTGGATTATTCCCCCCTAAATATGCAGGAAACGTGTCAAACATAAATTCAAATATTTTTTCCCCTTCATGCCTCCCCCACTTCTGTGAGTCTAGTCTTCTGTCCCTTCCTGCAGAGGAATTTTTCTTCAGTTCACTCATTCAAGGCAACCTGGTTTATTGCAGCTACTGTAGGAAGTGAGGCCACACGTTGAATATTTACTCTGTTCCCAGGTGCAGGCCACCTGCGGGCTGGAATTAGCCTTTTCTGTCCCCCAGGACCTCTAATGTCCAGCCATAGCCAGCCTGCATTTTCTATGAATTGACTACACAGAATTGGGTTTTCATACATGGTTCCACCCCCCTTTTTTGGCTGGATGTTGGAGCTGGATTAGTTGGCAAACAGCCCATTTGGTTAGACTTCCAACTTTTATTCCTTTTTAGCTAAGGCAAAAATATATTCCAAATGCTGGGTCCTGGGAAAATGACAGATCAAGTTCATACAAATAGATTTGTTTTTACTATCTGCATGTGAAAGTCCTACAGTGACCCACATATCATCGTAATTACTAAAAGAGCCATTGAGAGTTCCTACCCCAAAAAAGTGTTTGTGTTAATGCTGGGAAAGCTGATTTTGCCACCCAGTGAAAGCACAGACTCTTGGCTATTAGAATGAACCTGGGGAAAGGAGAGCCAGAATAAATGATTTATTTGATGCCTATGCTGTTTACTATCATTTTCTTGGTGGCAATAACAAGAAGATTATCATTTAAGATGCCAGAAAACACATTCACACATTTTAGCGATTGAAGCTAGACGCAAGAATTTTCTCCTTTTCCAAGTCCAGCCCAGCCCATCTTCCTCAGACACCCAGCAGGTGTCGCTCTTGCATACATTTTGCTGCTGGTCCTGTTTTTCATTGGCTTGCCATTTTTAATTTATAATTTCAGAGTAAGTGTTACCCGCAGACAGTTATCTTGAAATTCATACCTAGGATGGGTGATAGCCTCTTCCACATTCATTTTTCATCCTAGTTATCTGAAAAAGGCATTTCGGTAATACTATGTAAACTTAGTCCAGCTTTTAGGGTCTGTAAATATTTTTAAATACTTCTTGGATGCACAGTCACTTAGAATTATTGTACTGATGTTTGAATGTCTGAAGGGGCAGTTTAGAGGAAAGAGAGTTTGATATGATCATTTCCTACTGCAGAAAGGCTAATGCTTCAAATATAATTTGTCTCTCTTTGAAAGAAAACCACCTAACGCTAAAAACACAGCCATACTGGGAGTACAGAGAAAGGGTTCTGTAGGAAGAGGCTGGAAGAAAGTTAACTTACTGTTCAAAGTTTTGTCCTATAAAGAGAACAGGAAATTCCGTGGGTTGTTTTGCACCATTCAGCTCAAAATGTGTTTTTTGTGATCGCGAATTAATTACCTGGTTGGGCATCTGTGTAGCCCACACTTGAATGGAAAGTTGCCAACCTAACATTTCTTTTTGTTCTGAAAAGACCTAGCTGGTGAGAAGTTGGAATTATCGGTATAATGTATTGATAACCATGGTAGAATAATTATGAAACTGGCCCCAGCAAAGCCCAGCTCATTGGAAAAAGCCAGCGTTCCTTTTTTCTCCATTTAAAATGAAATAAAAGCAGTGATATAATAGAAACATTTCACACCAGCAGGTACCCTGTACCAAAGCCTATACCATAACCTATTTCCATGTTATCTCCAGAAGCCTTCTACCCAGCCCGCAAAGTGGGTGTCCTCATAGCTGTCGACTAAGAATTACCCCAGATTTTGATCCTGGCTGGCTGTGGCCAGCCTGGGAGGGCAGGAGGGAGAGCTGCTCCCACTGATTTTGTATCTGAAATCTTGTTACAGACCTCAAGCAGCAGTGGCTAGGGAAAATGGCTGTTTCACACTTTCCTGATGCATTCCCTGGGGAAACTTAGACTACTCTACTGTCAGGGCCACCCTCCAACTATCGTGTTTGGGGTTGTTTCAGCAAAGAACAAACAGAACAGTTCTTGGGTGCTCTAAGCTACGAGCGTCAGCCACAGTCGCCCTGCCCTGTGTGTAGGGCCCGGTGTAGGCTGGGTCGTAAGAGTGAAGCAGTCACCTCTGCGGAGGTCACTACCCTTGGCTCCAAACTAGGGTTCAAGATTTGGTGCCCCCTCAGCTCTGCATTCATGATTCTGTGTATTTCCACCCATCTGGCCATAGTCCAGAGGCCTGGCTTTCTCTGTTTCTGTGCTTTGTCAATTTGTTTTAATAAATAAGATGGATTATACTTGTTTCTCTTTTAAACACCTTAACAGATAACTCATTAACTCATTTGCGCCTTGACAAAGGTGAGATGAGTAACGCAGGAATTATCTTAGTCTTACAAGGAAACCCAAGTACTAAGGAGATTATGTGATTTGCCTGAGATCACATGGCCTGTAAGGGGCAGGGCCTGAACTCCAGCCCTCTGTTTCCGATCCTAAAGTCGTTGCAGCCCTACCCTGGCTCTGCCTCCCTGGGTCTACCTCCCTGGGCCGGTGTGTGGGGAGAACAGCAGTAGGGATTGCCTGCAAGGTGAACTCTGAAGAGTCGGTTCCCTGAGTGACAGGCCTGGCCCACCCCCTTCCAGATTAACAGGGAAGGAGCACTGAATAGAAATGAGCACAAGGAAACATAGCAAGAAATAAGATCAATTTGGGAAGGGGGTGTAGGCCACGTAGCTTCCTTTCCTGGCAGGTACTGGACCTTCCAACATGAGCCCGTGTCCAACTTTTCGGTGGCATCCATATAGACGCGGAGTGAGAAGGGTCCTGCACAGGACTCCAGATCTGCCCGAACCAGGCTGTCAGTGGCTTCAGCCTCACTGGGCGCTAGGGGGGGGTGTCTGCCCCATACCCGAAGGACGCCCGTTGGCAAAGAGCATTCCCCTGCGCAGGCTTTTAGGGTGTGGGACTGGTGAAAGGAGGAAACGGGAGCGAGCCCACCATCCGCGTCCTCGGTGCCCAGCCGTGCCTGGCCGCCGGTCGGCCTCAGCCAGAGCCCAGAGCCCAGAGCCCACAGCGAGCCAGGGCGGGACGCGGCGCCCTCTACGGCCGAGGAGGGAAAGGGCTGGGAGGCGCACCCGGCGAAGGCTGCGGCGGGCGGGGAACTCCGCTGCCAGCTGCACCTCAACCCCCGGGAGGGCTGGGGAGGGCCGGGAGGACCAGCAGACGGATGGGGTGGCGGGAAGTCGTCTCCATGCCTGCGCGGCTCTCCCGGCCTTTCCTCCCGTCCTCCTAGCCGGCTCCCCCGCCCGGGACGCCCCGCGCCTCTCCGCGCCTTTGGCCCAGGCTCAAGGTCTTGTGATGTGATTAGCAAAGCCAGCGCCTTGTCCTCAGACACTCAGCGCTGCCCGGCAGGCCCCGGTGCTCAAGCCCTGTTTACTGCAGCCTGGGCGGGGAGGGGGGCGGAGAAACCGGCCCAAGCTCCTCCGGGCGAGAATGCCGCGGCAGCCGTCCGCGTGGCTGCTCCCGCCCCCACCCCCACCGCGTCTCCACGTGCAGTCGGGATGGAGCTGCCACCCACTCAGGCCCAGAGCCCCCGCCCCCTGGCCAGGACACCCTCTGCAAGCCAGCTGGGCCGCGCGGACGGTTGCAATATTCCTGCATTTTGCAATTCCCGCGCCCAGTGTAAAACCCAGGGTGGGAGATAAAAGCTCCGCAATTTCGCCTAGCAGGACGGGGCGGAGAAAGACACGTCCAGGGCTGCAGAACCCCGGCCACGTTAAATGTGCTGGGGATTTCCAAGAGCACAGTCCCAGAGGAGAGGAGCCGTATCTACCCGCCGCCACCCAGCTGCACCCATCTGGGCCGAGCTCTCCACGCCACCCCCGGCGCCGGGGCAGCCTGCCCCGCCCCGAGGCCTCTCTACCCCCTCCCCCAGAGGAAAAAAATTGGCGGCGGCCAATGGGAGGCCAGGAAGGCGCCTGACGTCCGCGAGCCGGCGGGCGGCGTTGCCTGGAGACCCCGACGGGGTCAGCGTACTGTCCCCTCCCCCGGCACGCCCGCCCAGCCGCTGCCGCGCTCTGGGGCTCTATATAGGGCGCGCGCTCGCGGGGCGCCGAGTTCCAGCAGTCCGCGAGCTGCCGTCGGCTCCGCGCGGGGGGGCGGGCCGGGTACCCCGGGGCGCGGAGGAGCAGTCTTTGCTTCTCTCTCCTTTCCCCCCCACTTCGCACTCCCGGGCACCCTCAAACCAGTCCACGCTGCTTCCCTCTCCCTCTCTTCTCGCCCCCCAGCAAACTTTCGGTCCCTTCCCCGCCCCTCGCCCGTTATTCGTCGTGGCTCGAGCCCGGCCGCGCGGCCCCGAGGGCTCCTCCGGACCTCCCTTCCTGCAGCTTCGACCATTACAGGATCCAGAAACATGTCGACCACACTTCTGTCCGCCTTCTACGATATCGACTTCTTGTGCAAGGTACGCGGGGGAGCAGGGAGGAAGGGAGACGGGCAAGCAGGAAGCCCTTAGAGTTTTCAGACTTTACCTCCTGTCCTCAGTTTTTGGGGGCCCTCTCCCTCCCCACTTTGACTTTTGGGCCCGGGAAAATCCCGAAGTTTGCAGGAGTGTGTGCTCGCGCCTTGTGGGCGGGGAGAAGGAGCAGGGAGGGAGGAAGGGCAGGAGGGAGCGGTTCTAGTTGTTTGGTTTCTCCGGAGCCGACCGCGGCCACGCTACCCAGGGCTTCCCGGACGGGTTTGCGCCGCCCAGGCCGGCGGCCCACGGGCTGAGGATCACATGTCGAAACCGAGCGCGGCCTGGGGTGGGAGGCCGGCTCCTCCCAACGCGAAGTTGATTCTTTTGCGCGCCTTTGGGTGGAGGGTAAGGGCCGAGTCGAAATCTGCAAAAAAGAAAAAGAATCAGAAGGCTGAAGTTGCCCTGCAGTTCGCCCCAATTCTTCCCTCCCTTTCCGTATTTCATTCCTTCCCCGCTCCCCTTCTTTTGGCAGACGGAGAAATCCCTGGCCAACCTCAATCTGAACATGCTGGACAAGAAGGCGGTGGGGACGCCCGTGGCCGCCGCCCCCAGCTCGGGCTTCACGCCGGGCTTCCTCCGACGGCACTCGGCCAGCAACCTGCACGCGCTCGCTCACCCCGCGCCTAGCCCCGGCAGCTGCTCACCCAAGTTCCCGGGCGCGGCTAACGGCAGCAGCTGCGGCAGCGGGGCGGCCGGCGGCCCGGCCTCCTACGGCACCCTCAAGGAGCCGTCGGGGGGCGGCGGCACGGCCCTGCTGAACAAGGAGAACAAGTTCCGGGACCGCTCGTTCAGCGAGAACGGAGAGCGCAGCCAGCACCTCCTGCACCTGCAGCAGCAGCAGAAGGGGGGCGGCGGCTCCCAGATCAACTCGACGCGCTACAAAACTGAGCTGTGCCGGCCCTTCGAGGAGAGCGGCACGTGCAAGTACGGCGAGAAGTGCCAGTTCGCGCACGGCTTCCACGAGCTGCGCAGCCTCACGCGGCACCCGAAGTACAAGACGGAGCTGTGCCGCACCTTCCACACCATCGGCTTCTGCCCCTACGGGCCGCGCTGCCACTTCATCCACAACGCCGAGGAGCGACGGCCCGCGCCGTCGGGGGCCGCCTCTGGGGACCTGCGCAGCTTTAGCGCGCGCGACGCGCTGCACCTGGGCTTCCCGCGGGAGCCCCGGCCCAAGCTGCACCACAGCCTCAGCTTCTCGGGCTTCCCCTCGGGCCACCACCAGCCCCCGGGGGGCCTCGAGTCGCCGCTGCTGCTCGACAGCCCCACGTCGCGCACGCCGCCGCCCCCCTCCTGCTCCTCGGCCTCGTCCTGCTCCTCGTCCGCGTCGTCCTGCTCGTCGGCCTCGGCGGCCTCCACGCCCTCGGGCGCCCCGACGTGCTGTGCCTCCGCGGCGGCGGCGGCGGCGGCCGCGCTGCTCTACGGCCCCGGGGGCGCCGAGGACCTGCTGGCGCCGGGCGCGCCGTGCGCCGCCTGCTCATCCGCCTCGTGCGCGAACAACGCCTTCGCCTTCGGCCCCGAGCTGAGCAGCCTCATCACGCCGCTTGCCATCCAGACCCACAACTTCGCCGCCGTGGCCGCCGCCGCCTACTACCGCAGCCAGCAGCAGCAGCAGCAGCAGCCGCCGCCGCCGCAGCCGGGCCTGGCGCCCCCCGCGCAGCCCCCGGCGCCGCCCAGCGCGCCCCTCCCGCCCAGCGCCGCCGCGCCGCCCTCGCCGCCCTTCAGTTTCCAGCTGCCGCGCCGCCTGTCCGAGTCGCCCGTGTTCGACGCGCCGCCCAGCCCCCCGGACTCGCTGTCGGACCGCGACAGCTACTTGAGCGGCTCCTTGAGCTCGGGCAGCCTCAGCGGCTCCGAGTCCCCCAGCCTCGACCCCGGCCGCCGCCTGCCCATCTTCAGCCGGCTCTCCATCTCCGACGACTGAGGCAAGAGGGCGCCAGTGAGGAGGAAGGGAAGGCCGTTCTGGGGGTGTTGGAGGGGCCCCCCGCCGTCTCGCCCCTGCCAGGGACAGGGGGCACGGGAGTTGGGGGTGACATATAGGCCACAAGCAGACTGCAGGCCGGACCGAGCCCTTGGACTCGAACTTGTGTGCCGGGCGGGGCCCCCCACCCCTCTCCCCTTTCGGTTTCCTCTTGTTTTGTTTTTTTTATTATTATTTTTATTATTATTACGAAGTTTTTTTCTTGTTGAGCAAAAAAAAGCCAACGAACTCTTTGTATCGATGAACAAAATATTCACAACAGGGCAGTTGTGATGCGAATAGAACAAAAAAAAAACCAAACACTTAAACTTTTTTAGGTCTCCGACGAGTTTGGGACTTTAGGAAAAGTCAACCCAGCACCAGCAGCTACCAACCACCATTCCATATCTTCACTTGAAAAGCATTAGTTAACAGTCCAGATGTGGGAACGCTCATCTTGAGAGAAGTTGCAAATTGTCGTTTGTCTCAGACCAGTGTAAACAAAGCAGCCAGCCATCACCTTGCTAAACCTATAAGCTTTTAGAATCCAATATTCTGCCAAGAATATGCCTTAATAGTAGTTCTCTGATCCATAGGTTTTTTTTTTTTGAAAAAAAGTTATATGTCTGGAAAAAAAAAAACCCCTTGCATTCCAAAGTTTCATACTGGTTACTGGTTTCATTGCCACCACTCAGTGGGTGTTTAATTTAGAACCATTTTGTCTGCTCTTTCTGGAAGCCTTGGGCAGAGCTTAGTTTGTAATTGTTGGGAATAACTGCTGAATTTTTAGCTGTTTTGAGTTGATTCGCACCACTGCACCACAACTC